AGGAAGGAAGGAAGGAAGGAAGGAAGGAAGGAAGGAAGGAAGGAAGGAAGGGGAGGGAAGAAGGGGGGAAGAAGGAAAGAAGGAAGGAAGGAAGAGGGGAAGGGACAAGGAGGGAAGGAAGGAAGTCTTCTGATGCTCCCTGCTATCTTTCTCAAGGGAATTCAGTAAAGAGCTGGCAGGAAGTTGGAAATTGCTCCACTCCCACTTTTTTTTTTTTTTTTTTTGCCCAACTATGAACATTCTCTTTCTGTGCTTCGGTAAGGAAATATATCCGCAGTGATTACCCAGCAGGATATGGGTTATATAAGTAAGACTTGGTGTCAGAGACCTCCATGGATATTGAATGTTCTTTGCTATGACTAGTTAGCTTATTTTGAAGTGTTTCTATCCATCTTAAGTGATTTCTACTCCTATAGTTAAATTCCAGTAGTGGCAGAAGCCTTTGGCGGTAAATAAACAAATGAAATCTTTGCACGGCAATATTGTAATGATAAAGTAACTTAAGTGATAAGTTCACAAAAACTAATTCATTAGAAAAAAGAAGCTGAATATTTATTGAGTGAGCTAAATAACATAAGCTAGCAGAAAGCAAGGGGGGTGGATATTCTAGGAAAAAATGGTGTGAAAATATGCAGAATCAATGTTTACCAAGCGAATAAAGTTCTTATAATGTCAACACAGAATTACTGTAGGATTATACCTTGAAATTATCAATTATAAGTTATCAATTATATACAAGATACAATTCGCCCCCACCTTGTTGCTTTTCTGAAAGGCCCTGAAGATGTGTTTTTATCAGTGGACCTAGGGACCATGAATGGAGATGAAGCCAATGAAATGGTTGATCTGATTGTGTTGCTCCCATGGAGGAGAGGGTTTTTTAAAATTAGTTTTTATGTTTTGAATTTTTTAATATTGTAAGCTGTCTGGAGTCACCTGTGTGTAAGTTGGGCAGCTGTATAAACTTGTATAATAAATAATTATGGAATTTGGAAAAGCTCTGTTCTAAAAATGAAGATGAAATGAGAAGATAAAACAAAATGTTTCTGTATGGTCTAGAATTGATAATCTTAAGGAATTAATTCTACAGATCTTTTCCCCTCTCTCTATGCGTTTATTGGTTTCTTTTTTTGTCCAGTTTAGCTTTATTTATTATAATACATCTTAAATTCTTTTTATTTCATAGAATACTTTTTTTCCTTTGTTGATGCTGTAGATTTCTATATTTCACTATTAAATTAAAAAACAACAGAGGGATGTGCAACAATCGTGTATAAGTGGTAACCAGCACAAAATCTGGCTATTCCTGCAATAAATGCTTTGTTAATACAAACAGGCTAGCCATTCTGTTGTATATTCCTGCCCTTGTTCAGTCTACTGCTATGAATTACATCAGCTGTGCCAGTAACCAAAGTGGCTGCCAATTTTGGGAGCTTCAGGAAACAATGTCAAGAATGACAAGTGCACGCCAAATTTTTTTGTATTGTCATTTAGAGTGCTATTTAGATGTAAACATTTGTATCTACAGTAATACCTCCTGCAATTTTCTGTAGTATATTACACACGGTTCTGATTTCAAAGGCATATCTATGTAGTGCAGTGAAATTGTGAATTGGCCTTAATTTTGATGCTGGGGATGTGGGGCTGAGAAACAATAACTTTATACTTTCTAGCGGGATCTAAATATTTGGACAGAATATAAAGAAGGAGGAAGTTGAAGATTAAATATCTGCTTCTGTTTTGTCTTTTTTTAAAAATTATAAACAATAGTAAACAACAACATAGTGGAGACATTATTATTAAGCATTAAGGTCATAGATAGAAACTTTTTGATATCATAAATAAATGCATGGAATTGTCTATCAATGCCATTCGTAGTTTTAATTGTACATTTCAAGCAACTGTAATTTACATTTTAGAAATTATATTGAATAGTGGCAAACTTTTCTCTTTAAAGTTTTGACTTATCTAAACCATCAGGATGCTAACAATTTCTAGTTTATGTTTCATAAAAACCACTGTACCAAGCAACTATCTGTTTTTAATAACGTGATTTTCACATCTTATAATGCAATAAAGCAATTACTAGGGGGAAAAGACCACAATAATTTGCATAGCCCTTCCTTCTCCATGCATGCATGCATATTTCTGGTGTATTTTATACAATAGCTCAAAATAACTTTGAATGTTTACTATAGACATGCTTTGCTTTCTGATACTCATTCATACTTATGATTATATCACTTTATCAAATACCTAAAGCAGTCTGTTGCTTAACGATCTGACAAAGTAAAGCTACCCCTCCCTTTCTTTTTCCTCTTAATTTTAATAGTCTATTTTAAAATTTAATAAGTATCATAGATAGTTAGGTACTGTCCAGTTGGGTTCAATTCCTCGATCAAACTGAAATTGATGATATATCAAATATTATCTGGACATGCCTTTCATAAATACCAATGCAAGCTTGTTTAAAGGTGAAATGAATAATATTCAGTTGAATTTCTTCTGAGGAAGATAAGCAATGGATTGCAGTCGTTGCCTTTCAATTAGGAATGCGAAATTTGATAGTTCTCTGTCTTTTATATGGATATTTTATTTCTTCCAGCTTTGAAAGTAATAACTACTGTTGGGGTGGGGGGTGGGAAAGAGGGAAATGGCTGTCGACAGTTTCTTTGGGTCACACATGTATTCAATACATGATTATTAAATGCCATTAGAAAACAGTGCTGTCATATTACTATAGTAGAAACATAGCAACCCATATTATATGTACCCCTATTTGTAGAGTTGAGTTAGAGCAAATAATCTAACATTTTCATTAATAATCACTAATGAAGTTTAAAGTAGAATATGTTATTTACATATTCATTCTAAAACACTGTATCACTTATTGTATGTTATATATTATATTTGCATCATGCAGACATATTTGGTGACATAAGGAAGATGTGAAATTTAATGAACTAGACATAAAACCATAGCCAAACCTCCCACACTTTTATAGTTTGTGATATGTGACCTTGAAGAGATGATTTGTAATATTTTCTAAGCTTTGACTTCATTATTATTCTAAGAACAGTTTAACACATGGTTTTGGAATTCATAATGACCATGACAGCCATGACAACCAAAATATATGAAGCCTAAGGCATTTTTCTATTTGTGTATTTGACTGATTCTTTTTGTCATTAGCAAGTGTGGGTGACTGGATCCTTTATTAGTGGATTTTTCTAGTCCTACCTTATGCATGAAGGCAATTGGGTGACCTTACTTCAGGCATTCTAGGCATTTAGACAATGGTCCAATTCAGTTACGTTTTTATTTTGTAGGACAGAGTTTGTTCAGAAAGGAAATATAACAGTAAAAGGCACTGGATTGCTGAATTGCTTACTGGAAATTTTTGCAAAATCCTTTTTAAATCAAGGAGTCAAAAGGGTAAGTGCTTTTTATTTTTTAATTTAATTCCCAGGTTCTTGATATCTAATGTGCTTTCTTCTGCTATGTATAATATTCTAGTTGCTTTATATTAAAATGTGTCAAAACAAGTATTGGTACATAAGACATTCCCATATATGTATTTATTAGACTAATACAATAGGTCACCAGCTGCCTACATTGCATTTATTCAAAATTTTTATTCAGGCAGAACTTGGGTGGTGAGCATTTGAAGCAGAGTTATTCATATAAGTGCCTCATTTTCAACTAATCCATTTAATCATAAACTACCCCTGAGATATTTAGCTAGCAGAAAATGTGGCTATAGGATGCTGCTGCTGATAGTTGCTTTGTCGTGGTATCTTCCCAGAATCTAATTATAAGACTGAATATATATATTTATTCACAAACAGACACATTGATCAAGCAAATATATGATCGTGTACATTATAAAATGGATCAGAAGAAAAATTGAGAACTAGCTCTTTTGAATAATGTGAATAATTCATCCTGACCCATTTTGGGGCTCTTGGGATTATTGTCAGAACTAGAAAAACATTAAGATTGTATAGATAGAGCATAATGAGATGAAGTGATGTTACATGAGATATTTTTATATTTATATTTATTTTTATTGATAACTTTGTTTTAACTCATTGGTTAGGCTTATTGTGGGATGCTGCCAAATATACTCAGAAACTTTATTTCAGTGATTATTTGACATTCATCTTACTTGCAGATGGTTCACCTTTTTCTTTCAGATGTTTCCATTCTCATCCCTTTCTGTATTAATAATATTGGCATAAGCAAAACAAGACAAATAAGAGATCAAAAGAATTTTCAGTCAGAAGTACATGGATGCACTGGCTTGCACCTGGTGCAATCTTAAGAATCAGCAAAGTCACATGATGCAGCAGATATTATAACATATTGAAACTAATATTAAATATAGCTTTCTTTTATATTAATTTGTTTTATGTGAGATATAGCAAGGTGAAGTAAGTCCATGATTACCTATAGAAGAAAATCTTACTACAGAGATCAGTTAAATTCTATTGTCTACATTTGCACATAATAAACAAGGTTTGTTACAACAAAAAGATCAGCTTAGCTGATAAAATGACAACTATTAGAACCTCAGTTGTAAGGAATATATTTATTGGGCAGTACCATTATTCAGTCATATATGACTTGCAATTGATCATTAGTCATTTTATATATTGCTTTTTTTCCTCTTCTTTCCTAACCCCTATTTTAGAGGCAGCAATGCTATGAGGAAGAAAGGGAAAGCAGCTTTCACATTGTGAACATAATTGATTCAATAAATAACATGTTAAGATTTCCAGTGCAAAACTCAAGAGTTCTCACATTTGTCAGTTCGTGCTGTATTTAGTAAATGGTGGCAAACTTAATTTAGATGGATGAGCTGTATTAGTCAGTTCTCACTTCCTGTGGAGATGATGAAAACAGATAAAGGAGCTGCAAGTTCCAATATTTAAAGTTTATAAAGAAGCATTTTGCAAGCCATTCTGAATTTTTAAAATGTGGATCATTTGGATTATTGGTTTGTAACTGATCCAGAGTTGGCACGGTAAACATAATTTCCAAATTCTATTGGGAAAAGAAGATTTTACGGTGTACTGCATTGTTTGAGCTGCCAGTTCTTTGTTACATATACAGAAGTTTCTCCTTTACCAGAGAACAAAAAGATCCCAATTAGTGTGGGGCCTTGAACTACAGCCATTGACATCCATATCTGAAAACCAACAGAATACAGTAAATACTATAATCAAACTACAAAATTTTGATTGGTACCTGGTCAAAATTGCAACAAGCTATAGCTCTAGGTTCCAGTTATGTATATGTTTATGTGTATGTATATGTATACACACACATATATTGTCACCTCACTTCCTGAAATATTTGCAGATTGTGACCAGAAAGACATTCAAAATTACTAGCCAAAAGCCCTTCAAGCACTTTATTCATGAAATGTTAAGAATCTAAAAGAGAAACTTTTTTTAGGAACTTGTAACTTGTTTTATTGCTTAGTTTTCTATGTAGATTTTTACTTGAGAGCAGCTTTCCCAAAATCGTATGATATGGATAGAATTTATAGAATGCCTTGTTGTTTGACTACTTCCCACAGGACTCTTGTGATTTTATCCTGAAAGTTAGCAGTTTATCAGTGAAACTTGTAAGAGGTTCAGTGCTGGAGGACTCCAAGGGATGGATCCAAGTGTTGATAAAACTGGAAAATGCATAAGGTTATTTGTAAAATACTTAGATTTCAAAGTGATCTAGTCTTGTGATGTTTTTTTACAGAGTATTTCAATCATGGAAAGGCTTCTGCAAGACCAGTTTGGAGGGCCTGTTTTATAGTAAAAAATGTGAGTGTGCAGATGAAATGTTTTATTCAATGCAATAATTAACCAAGAAAGTTAAAAGATTTTATAAACCATTTGACTCTGAGCCTATTTGAATAATCCAATACTTAATTTTTGCTTGTACAAGAACTTTCACAAGTTTCTTTTTCTTTATAAAGAGTTTTTATTTTTATTTTTAAAAATATACACATACAAAACATAAAAACATAAAACCATCTTCCATTTCATATACATACAGTGTGTCAGTTGGTTACAAATCTTTTGTGCTATTCTTTTATAGTCATTTACTCACAGTTTATATCAATTTTCACATTGTCAAACCAACATATGCTTATATACAGTATTTATCAGTCATGAATCATCCATGACTAAACTGTTTATTCCATCATTTTATACGAGATATTCCAAATTTTATCTTAAAATTTGTTATACTTTCTTTTTTTAAAAAAAATAAATTTTATTGATTTTACAATTAAAACAAACCAACAACACATACATAAATGAAAGAGAGAAAAAGAAGAAAGGGAGAAGAAAATAGAAAGAAAAAAATAGAAAACAATTAAAAACATTCTCATCTTCAACAGTTTGTAAGACCTCTTTTTTATCCTTATTTTATGCCATATACTCACACCTAATCCTTACATATATCTGTGTATCACTACTATGGATTTATCCTATCCTCTTTTGCCTTTTAGTGTGAAGTCTATCTTTGGTCTATCCATTTGTACCAGCAGTTCCAGCTGTTGTAGTATATTGAAGTGTCTTTATTTTTTAATGCCAAAGTTAATTTGTCCATTTCTGCACAACTTGAAATTTTTTGAATGATCATTTCCTCTGATGGAACACGAGACTGCTTCCAACATTGTGCAAAAGCCAATCTGGCCGCTGTCAAAATGTGTATTATTATATATTTCACTTTTTTTTATATTTGTTTATCAAAGATCCCTAACAGAAAGGACTCTGGTTTGAATTCGATCTGTTCTCTTGTCATTTCTTCCAGCCAATTTCTAATTTTCTGCCAATATTTTTGAGCTTCTGCACAAGACCACCACATATGGAAAAAAGTTCCCTCTTTTTTTCTTGCATTTCCAGCTATTTGGACTCATATTGGGGTGCATCTTCGCTAATCTCGAAGGAGGAAGGTGCCATCTATAAAACATTTTATAGGCATTTTCTTTGTATGCTACCGATTTTGTAATTTTATTATTTCTACCCCAGACCTTTTCCCATTCTGTTATGGTGATGCTACGTCCTATATTCCTACTCCAGGCTATCATGTTCCCTTTTACAATTTCTTCTTCTAATTCTACTTCTAATAAATAATTATAAAATTTTGTTATATTTTTTTTGCCTGATCCTAATAAAATTTTATCTAATTGCTGGAGTTTATTGTTAATTCCAAATTCTTTCTTGTCTTGTTTATACTTTGAATTTGAAGATATGCCCACTGATCAATTTTTAGTCCCCGCTCTTGAAGTTCTTGCCGTGATTTCAAATTTCCTTGTGTATCCAATAGGTCCTTATATTTAATCATTTTAGTGATATCCAGATTATTTGGATGAATCATTGCCTCCATTGTTGAAATCCAAATTGGTATTTTTAAATAGTGTTTTTTTCCGTATTTTCTTCCAATTAGTTAATGTTAGGGATAACATTGTTTACCCTAACTGGTTTAGGTAAAAATAATAAATAAGTTATCATGGTTTGTTGGTTAAAGTGTGTGTAACTTTAACTACAAAAATGTAATTAAGGGTGTGGTTGTAAAAGCACCATAAAAGAAGCAAGTCAATTGCAGCTCTCTCTCTCTGGCTTAATGATCCCTAATTACTGGATGGATTGATGACTGCGTTTTTCCTTACTGGAACGGAGGAGAGAAAGGAGTGTTGATTTCTCAACGGAGAGAAGAGATAATACGGACTGATTTATTGTAAGTGAACTGACATTGGCTATTCAACACGGACTTTGCAAATTGAGTATCCTCGACTGGACTGACTGAAATGATACATGACTAATGGACCGTTTATTTTGACTATGCTATAATTTCTAATAGAATAAACTATATTTTTGATAGCACAAGCGTATCTGTATTTTGCTGCGTGTTAACTATAATACAAACTTATGTCACACATTTACCTGTCTGCCTATCTGACTATGCTACACATTCTGTTTAGTTTGTTTTCCTTAACACTCGTTGGGGAATTCAGGCTTAACAAATAATGAGTCTGATTAGGTGTCTGTGAAAATATTTCTGGCTAGTTTTCCCTACATCCCATAAAAAAGCATGCCACCCCCTTTGCAAGTCATGGCCTTCTAAGAATAATATTCTCTTATTGGTTAAATTCACCCATTCCTTCAACCATACTAAAGAGGCTGCACTATAATACAACTCCCAATTTGGAAGTGCCAGCCCTCCCCTGCTCTTCATATCCTGCATTGCCTTTAAATTTATTCTAGGTTTTTTCCCTTGCCAGATAAATTTTATAGTTATTTTATTAAGTTCTTCAAAAAAAAAATTATGTACTTTGATTGGGATCGTCTGAAATATACATAGGAATTTTGGAAGAATATTCATTTTAATAGCAGCAATCCTGCCTAATAATGAAAGTTGCAGCTTGCCCCATGTTTCTAAATCCTTCTTTACCTGTTGCATCAATTTATCATAATTATTTTCCTTAAGTGTCTTACAATGTGCTGTCAACCATATTCCTAAGTATTTAACTTTCTTTATCACTTGTATTCCCATAACTTCTAGTTCAATTTTCTGTTTTTCTGTTAAATTTTTAGTCATTAATTTTGTTTTCTTCCTATTAATTTTAAGTCCTGCTACTGCTCCAAATTGTTCTAATTCATTCATCAATTTTTGTCCTCTTTCTATTGGTTCCTCGATGAAAAAAAATCGTATCATCCGCAAACTCTTGCAACTTATATTCTTCTTTCTTAACCTTTAATCCTTTTATGTCTGGGTTCTGTCTAATTCGCATTAGTAATGCTTCTAATGATAATATGAAGAGCAGGGGTGAGAGTGGGCAGCCCTGTCTGACTCCTTTTTCTATTTTTATTGGGCGGGTATATTCCCCGTTTATTATAATATTAGCTTGCTGTGTATCATAAATAGTTGTTATAATATTTTCAAATTTGGTGCCTAAATTCATATTATAATTTTTTTGGATTAAAAATTGCCAATTTAAATTATCAAAGGCCTTCTCTGCATCTAAAAACATAAGTGCAATTTGTTTTTTGGGGTGGGCTTCGTAAAATTCTAAGACATCTAGTACTATTCTTAAGTTGTTCCTGATTTGTCTGGTCGGGAGAAATCCATTTTGATCTTCATATATATGCTCATTTAACATTCTTTTTAGTCTACTTGCTATAATAGAAATGAATATTTTGTAGTCAGTATTTAACAGTGAAATCGGCCTATAGTCATGTATATATCGGGGATCCGAATCCTCCTTCGGGATCAGCGAAATTAATGCCCCCCTCCATGAGTCCGGCATCCTGGCTGCCAATAAGACGTCATTAAACCTTCCACCATAAGAGGTCCTATTTGTTCTGCTATTGCCTTGTACAGCTCCCCTGGAATCCCATCTGGTCCCGGGGATTTATTGTTTTTCTGGTTCTCTATTGCTGATTTCAATTCAAACCAAGTAATGTCTTTGTTTAATAATTCTTCGATTTCTTCCCCAATTGCTTTATCCTTCACTTCATCTAAATAGTTTCTTATTCTATCTTCGTTAACTTCTTCCTTTTTATATAACTCTTCAAAATACTTATGGGCAATTTCTTTTTTCTGTTCTATCTCCTGTTGTATATCCCCCTTTCCATCTATTAGCTGGTATATCAATCTCTTTTCTTTCCTTTTTTTTTTAGTCTATATGATAGCCATCTCCCTGGCTTATTAGCATGCTCAAAATAAGTTTGTCTAGTTGTATTCAAATTTATAATCATTCTCTCTTGTTCAATTAAATTCAATTTATGTTTAGTTATTATTTGATTTTGCAATTTTGAATCCTTTGGGGTACTCTGTAATTGAGTTTCTAATTCCTTAATTTTTTGTTGTAATTTGTTTTGCTGGGCATATTTTTCCTTATTCCTCTTGGTATTATAAGAGATTGTTATACCTCTTATTTTGCCTTCACTGTATGCCAAATGTTTTGTTTCGTAGTTGCTCCATTATCATTTTCCTTTAAGAAATAATTTAATTCCTCGAGTTGTTGTATTTTTCTCTTATTAACTGAGTATTTAACGTCCATCTTTTCTTGGGTTTTTCCCTACCCTTCCATATTATCTGAATTGGATTGTGATCTGCCCATTCATTAGGTAAAATTTCAATCCCCTTTATCTCATTTGCTATTTCCCCATTCATCCATGCCATATCAATTCGTGTCCATATTTTTTTTTTTAAACAAGTTTTATTGATTTTCAAAACACACAAGTCATCATTATCCATTACATGTTTAAACCTTTTTCCATTATAAATTTAACAAGTCAGATAAACTATAATTCTGTTTTAAACCATTTCCGTATAAACATACCAAAAACCTCTTATCCAATTTCCCTTTATTTCTCTTTACTCTTATTCAATTTTATTATTATTATTTCATCTACTTCTTTCTGACTTAGTTACCATTATTCTCATTCTATATTTCTACAAGGTTTTATTAATTTCCCCCCCCAAAAAAACAACATAATCACACAACACACAAAACATAAAAAAGATCTTTTTGGAAAGTAACTTGGACCCAGGTATCTCTCTTTTCATGGACTTCAATTATATTCAGGCTCATCTTACATATCATTACTTATTTTATTTACCATTCTAAATCTTCTATATTAACTTCTCCACATATTTCACTCTTCTTAATTCTATCTTAATTAATCATCTTAATTTGAGTCATTATATTTATATCTTTTGTCCATTCTCTATTATACCTTTGTCTCATTCCTTTTAAAAAGAAAGAAATTTCTCCTGAAATCACTAATCAGAGTATGATGCCTTTCTA